AATCCCCATCATTCTGTGATTCTGTGATTTGTAAACTATCTTGGTATCACTGGTGGTGGTGTAGAAATGCAGTGTGCTTGCTCATGGTTGTGCAGATTTTTTGCAGTACAGACTGGTTCCTGAGACATGACCTGAGATTCTGCCAGATTGGGACACAAAGCAGAAGTAGACAGCTTTGTTCCTCTATTGTTATTCATAAGGGCGTTTTCTGTGGGTCAACTGTAGGGCAATTTCTTGTGTAGCTCCTTGCAAAGCAGGGGTGTGTTACAATGCTTAGCATCCGAGTTTCCTACTAAAGATGGGGGACATGAGGAATCACACCCAACTCAAAGCAGGGTAGATGCCAAAAATGTTCAAAAACCACACCAGTTAGTTGTTGAGGTCATTTAAAAAAAAAAAATTAAAAAAAATGAGGCTCACATTGTTAATTTGCAAGTCCTTGATAAATCAAGAACAAATTGCTTATTTATTACACTTACACAATCAAGCCTGTTTTGCTTTTACCAGCTACACACAATAGGAAGCTTTGCTTCAAGAGAAATCCAAAGCACACTTTAAATTGCTTGGGCTTTGTTTATTTTTGCTCTTATGTCATTTTGTGTTTGAATAACAGCATAGAGATGAACAATGTGCAACAACCCAGCTCAACTTTGTAACGTCTGTGTGATGTGTAACTCCTGTGCTATTTTGGCATGGGGAAATGAAAACCTCACCAGCAATGGAAAGAATAGAAAACCTCCCTTGTGGTTTAAACTGTCTCCTTGGGTTCTTAAGTGTCATGAAATTACAGCTAGTTCTGGCATATGGTGTTCCAGAAAGAGTTTGTTGCTTTTCCAAACCCACAGGGATAATGAATTGGGCAGGAAAGGGCTATAAATACTTTAAAGCTAATACTTCTGCTGAGCTACTTAGGTACTCGCTGACCAATAAGGAATTCTGAATTTTAAAAGCTTTGCAAAACTCATGAATACATGAAGCCATTGTGACAAAACTATCTAAATTACCAAATACAAATCCTAATTTGTGTGAGTTTGAATTCTCCCCCCTTAACTTGCAAAGAGTCCTGTTGGTACCAGTGGGATAGTCATGGGAAAAATGGCTGAACAAGGCAGAAGCTCAGCTGACTAGTGTGTCCCAGGTTCAGGGTTGAGGGCACATCTGCTTTCCCTCCCTTCAGTTGTATCAGGAATTGTGTGCAGAAGGCAGCATATCTCCAAAGCTACTTTTGCTCTTCCCAGATAGCTCTGTGGGCAGTGGGGGCATTCAAAGGGAAGACTCACTTAACTACTTGCAAGCATCCCCCCAGCATGGCATCAGCAGATGCAGATGGACTCCACCTCCTCTAGTCTTGTTTGCTTGGGTATTCAATAACTGCACAAGCACGGTGGCAAGTGTAGGTCCACAAGACACCTGGGAGGGAAGCGTAGTGCCGCAGCTTCCTTGCTACCCATACCTGACCTTGGGTTGAGTGTCACAAGGTGCCACCTGATGCTGAGTTGGCCCGCGGTGAGGGCTGTCTCTCTGCAAAAATTAGAGCTGTTATTGCCTACTTCCACACGACACAGAGTGGAAGTGGGACCTGAGAAGTGACACTCCGTGTGCCCCAGGTGAAGTAGGGACTGGAAAATAGTTCTCCCTGTGCTGCTGTAGGAAGTGGTGAATCCTCTTCTGCTTTTAGCACTCCATGTTAATGAATGGAGTTTAGAGCAGCTCTTTGCCCTCAGCCCAGTTGGGTTTAGAGAATCAGACCCTTTAGACTGTTTTTGTGCAACAGTTTTATGAAGACTAAATCTTGGCACCACGTCTGTTTGCTCATGAAAATGTACATCAGGAGCCCAGGCACCTGTACCCTCTCCCTGACACCCCTGTCTGCAGTCACAGGAATATGTCTAGCAGTTGCTGATATGATAAGCTGTTTCCCCTCAAAAAGAGGACGAGAGGAAGGGATTAGCATGCCCTCACCCTTTTCCCTTGCTGCCTTCCAGTCCATGAAACTGTTGCTGGTGTGTGGTGGGAATACGTTGACAAATTTTGGTCTTCTTGTCTTACTCTTGCAGCATTAAACTGTACCAGCATCAATTTATATACATAGCATTGTGGCATCTTGAACCCCTGGAAAACAAGCAGAAAGATTTCACTTTGTAACAAAGAGAAAAAAGAATTTTGTCAGCAGAAGCTGGTGTCTGCTTTGGGTGGTGTATGTTCTTGTCTTATTGGTCCCCTCTCTTACTGCTGCACAAGCATTTAAAAAAACACTTTTTTTTTTTTTTTTTTTTTCTTTCCAGGGAATCCAGGACTGGCCAAGGCAGGGAACGCTTTGCCCCAGAACCACTTGCAGCTGCATAAGAAGTCTGAAAAAGTTTCTCATCCAGGCCAAATTGCAGTAGGTTCTTTTAAATCCACTGATATTTTTGTTTTGTTCATAGTTTTCACTGAGGGTATGTCCATGCAGACAGCTCCTCTGTTGGTGCTTGAGTTTGCTAGGTAATGAGTCCACCAGAGAGGCTGCATGGGGCTGGCTCGAGCTTACTGCTGCACTAATGTGTCTCATCAGCTTTCGGCCCAGGTCTGACTTGTGTCCAGCTCAGGTCGTTGGCAGAGAGGTCAGGTTTTCTGAGCCTGCTTGATCATAAATCTTTAGAAAGGAAGTGTATGTCTTTAGTGTTTCAGGAAGTCATTAATCAGTTGTCATGCAACCCAGAAGTCAAGACCATGCCAGTGGCTTGTGCAAATGTTCAGTGTGTAACTGCCTGGAATACTCACCACCAGGCTGTGACACACTCTGGACTGTCCTGGCTCTCCATTTCCTGACGTGCCACTGATGGAAAGGATGATTGCTACTCCTCCATCTTATTTACCAAGGCATTTATTTTCTTTGGTGCTGTTTGAAGTGGGAGGGGATGCCTATCAGACAACCAGGGATCACAGTGCCTCGTGCAGGAGCTTGTATGTGTGCTGCTTCTCATTTTAAATGTTTGTGGGGTGCTGGCAGCCTTGGGTGGCTTCAGGGGATGCAGAGAAGGGCAGCAGGGGTTAGCTGCAGCTAACAGAGTCCCCAACCCCTCCTGGCTTGTCAGGGACCAGAGGTTTGGAGAAGACTCCATGTTTAGGCCATTGCCAATGACGTGGGAGGCCTATATCTGAGTTCCTGTGGGACTGGGATGCGTAACTGCCGCGTGGGTGTGAGCTGTGCCTGTGTTGGTATCACCTTTCCAGCCCAAGGGTGCTTCATCCCTGGTCTGTGCAGACACAGCCTGGGCTCTGGCACGGCACTGCCAGCCTCAAGGTAGTCCAGGGCTGGAGCCAAACTGAAGCCAGTGGAATCCTTTAGCCCTGGTGCAGAGTGCTCCTTTCTTTGTGTGAAAAAGGAAGTACTTCTGCGCTCCTGCAAAGTGCAAAGACGGAATCGTAAATGTTTGAGATTCAAAATAACATACTGAATAAAGTTAATCACCTTTCAGCTTTTAGGAGAGTCAAGTGTTTTGGCTCAGGTCACTTTCCTGTGTGGAATACCCGCTTGTGATGGACCAGCAAAAGCATCAAAAACCTAATAAACCTTTTTTGGTGTGGAAGTGACCATATCTATATTTGCTGGAACAGTAAAATACTGCATGTGCTGTTTAGTGATGGGTTCTTCCATGAGGAAAAAAAAAAACCAAACCAAAACAAAACTGAATTTTCTTTACTCAGAGTCCAGGCTCCTTTGCCAAGGGGAAGGACAGTGCCAACGCATTCTTAAAAGCAGCAGACTATTCCTCCTCAAGTGATGAAGTCAGCAGCAGCGAAGAAGATGACATGAGCCCCACAAGGTTGGCTTGATTTTTTTTTTAATTATTATTATTTTCTTCCTTTTTATTACACACTTTTAAACATCTGGAAAAAGATGACATATATAAATACTACCTCCCCTCTGAAGTTACTATCAGTCATTTATGTCAGTTGTAATTAAGCAGTTTAATGGCACTATAATGAACTCCCCGGGGTAAATGTTTGCTCCATCAGATGTGTGCAGTGTAATAAGCTTTGATGATGTGCTGCCCTGGGACAATGAAGAAAAGTCTCATTTTAACTGAATATCAATAGGTATTGCTTTTATAGAGGTACTTCACATTGATCTACATTTAAATGGAATTTTTGAAAGAAAAAGGAGAGGGAGAGGAAACTGTATACCTTCATGCTAAATACAGGCTACAGTGAAAAAAGCAATGCAAACATGACCCTTGTATTCGTGTAGTCTGTTCACTCCAGGAGAAATAATTGCCACTGAAAAGCTGATTCCTTCACCAGGGCTGTTTATAAAGAGGGGATAGTGTAAGCAGGATTTGTTTTTTCTAAAATATGATATATTGTTATTTGGCACAGTTGCTGTGGTTGCCAGATGATGCTATGGCTTTCACCAAGCCGATTTCATCTGAATCGTTTCTCTCCAGCTTTCCGGTTTATCTTGTTGATTTTGTGACTGACATCTTGTGGTGTTTCACCTGTCATGAAAAGTGTGTATTCGGAGAAATAACGGAGCATGAAGAGTTTGCTGCTCCAAGTGAAAGAGTCGGGGGGTCAGTTGGCCAGCCCGGCTGTTTGGAACAGCAAACAGAATTATTTTTTTAGTATTGATGAATGAAATTTCTAATTTTCTTGCGAAGATGCTTCAGTTTAATTCGAGTTCCAGGGTGTACTTCGAAGTGCACCACGGGGCCTCGGAGCTCTCTGGGGTGGGGCTCTTGCTCTTCTGACACAATTGCACATGTGGTTTTGTCAGTCTTCAGGCAGAGACGCACAGATTTGTAGCACTGTTGGCAAGCTCTTGTGTTGGCCTGGTACCAGTCCTTTCTCCTGTGCTGTTCTGAAGAAGGTAGAGTTTTTGTGCCTGCGTATGCTCCTGATTTGCATTTCTGAAGCTAATTTTCAAAGCTGAGACATGAAGAGGAAGAATGTTAAAAATCCTTCAGCTTATTCAGTGCACCTGAAAGAGCTGTCTTTTTACTGTAATGCCTTTATTTTCTTACTGCTCCTCTTCCAAACCACCTTATTCTGATCTGTAAAAAGTTTTATTCACTCTAGGTCATAGAATTCATCCTAGACCTCAGAAAGACTCTACATAAAAATATGGATTTGCCCTGTAGCAATGACTTTGTTGTGTAAGTGTTAGATTGCTGTGATCCTTGCATGCTGTGATGATTTGAAGGAGTGGTATCACTACCTTTGGAAATCTGCATGTGTTATTTGCATCTCCTCTGTGTGTGAGATCCACCAGTCCTCTAGAGAAGTGGAATTAGCTGGATGATCCCTGTCAGGTTTGCCTTCCTGGGCACACAACACTGCAAGAACACCTGTAAAATCAGAAGTATAATCTTGTCTATTAATAAAGTCCCTTCACCTCAGCTGAATGTCATTTATATTAAAAGATAGATACTTTGGGAAATATATCCTTATTATTACCAAATAAATAGCAAGAAGAGTAGTGATCGAAGTGAAAGCAGCAGCCAGCATTGAAACTTTGCATATTCTGGATGAAGTGAAGATTTTTGGTTTTCTTGCTATCTAAAGCATATGAATGCAGGATCTGAAGCCCCTTGCAGTCTGTAGAAGTGTTTCTATATGGGCTTTGGCTGAGACACCTTGGGCCAAGTTTTTGTTGGCTATTGAAGGCAATCTGTGTTTCTTGTTCTTGCTTGGGCTATGGAACAGCTGTTGATGTCCATGCTCCAGCTTTCATGGAGGTGCCCAGTAGGACTAGACTTGGGGCATACACACGTGCAAGAGAAAGAGCTTCATATTCTCTTGGACAAATCTTGTTAACCACCCTGAGAAAGTTAATTTCTGAGGAAGCCAGGACTAAGGGCAGTTGTCTGTTACTAGTAAAACAACTTTTGATCTTGTTTTTCTTTTCAGTAAGATGAGCCAGAATTCTTCCCCACACACTAGGTTTTTATTTTAAGGAAAGGATGTTAGTGTATGTGATCCAGCATCTTACCCACTTGTATAGCACATCTATTCCATTGATGCTAATTTCTCCTACTCAACTCTTCCTCTCTGGATGCCTGCAGCATTCACAATGCCCCTAAAACACTGATTTTCCTGGGGCTCATTTTGTATAATTCCGTTTCCTCTCTGTTCTTTATACGCTGTTCTCTACCAAAATTTGAATAAGGTGGTGTGCTTGGCTAGGAGGAATTATTTTCTCCCCCTAATAAGTGGGAGGTTGACATTATTTAAGATAAGCTGCTGCTTGCTTTCCTGATAAGAACAGGTCCTTGCACTCACCATTGATCCTACTCCATATCTTGCCTTTCTTTCTAAATGCAGTACGCACAGATTTACCCCTCCCATGAAGGGCAGTAGGGGAGCCAAAAGCAAAAAATAAACAAAAAAAGCCATAAAATCTTCTAGTCCTTCACAACCATCTTAAGTCAGTAGATGTCTCGCCAAACCTTCTTTTTTATCACATTGGGCAACATTTAAAAAAAAAAAAAAAAAATCACCCTTACACTCTCCTACCAGTTGTGGTATAGCACCATAGAGCTCTTCACACCAGCATCCTGAGTCCAGTCATCTTTAGAATTACTGGAAAGGAAGCAGAAATGTAATAGGCTTAAATGGATTGCAGTAATAAATATATGAATATAAGTAAATAAGTGGAATAGATAAATAATGTGGGGTGGAATGCACAGAAATGGGGCCACAGCCTCACTGACAGAAGTTTGAGGCAGTTCCAGTTGGGTAAATAAGTTTCAAATGCAAAGATACCACTGGTTGCATAGGAAGCAATAGCGTGCTGGGGTATATCACAACAGGTGCTGGCCTTGTCCTTGCTCTTCCTTTAGGTATCTGCTTTTGGTCACTGTTGATGACAGGATACTGGGCTAGGTGGGCTTTTGGCCCCAGCCTGTCCAGCAGCTTGTACGTTCTTTTGTCTCTGTGCACTGGGTAACATTTTCTTTGTGTCTTTGCATGTAAGGTGAGGATATCTGTGTTTCAGGGACTGATTCACAGTGTGAAATTCCAGTGTAGCCTGTCTGGTAGGCGTTGGCAGAAAGGTCCCCGATAGCAGCATGTAGCAGAGGAGCAGCTCTCCCCCTTGCAAGTGCAGCTGATGGTCTTTGGAGAGCAGGGTGGCTCAAAATTGCACCCTACAGGGTAGTGTATGAGGGGAGACAGGAGAAATTTTGAAATTGACACTTCTCAAATGACAGCTTGAGGGACAAGCTCTCACTTGCCTGAGCTATGCAGTGTCTGAAAAGTGATGGATGGAATGCAGGGAGGTGAAGGGATGCTCTCCATTGAGGTGGAGAGAGCTTCCTGCTGTGTGTGAGTGGTCCTCAGGCTCGAGTCTGTTCAGGCACATCCCCAGACTAATTAGCTTGCTTTTGTAAAAGAACCTTTAAGTGTAACTAGTGAATGTTAACTCTGCTCACTTTTCAACACGTATAAGTGGGGGTTTTTTGGGCTCTTTTTGTTTCCCTGAAATAGTTCTGTTCATTAATTGGAATTTGTTACCAGGCAACTGCTAAGCAGCAGAGTGGCAGATTTCTCAAGGACGAGAGTACCAGATGGAATTGAACTGAAACCCCAAAGCACGGTCACAGAACAGAAGGTAATTTGGCCATTTGTAAGGGGGTGGGTACAGTGGAGGGGAGTCAGATCATTAATGTGCATGATAAACGCTGTATCTGTTTCTTCTCAGCAGCGTTTTCATTCTGAAGTCCTGCTCTGTCATTGCAAATTATAGCTATAAGCCTTGAAAAAAATGTGTAGTTTCAGGTTTTGTGCTTTCTATAAAAATTCTTACATTTAGGTGTGAAATTGCACTTCTTTATTCATCCTTGTTACTGAACTGATAGCAGTTTCTATGATGTGAACTATTTTTTGAGCACGCTGGGCAGGTTGCAAAAAGCAATAATGTTGAATATTGTTGGTGTGCATTGTTACTATTTTTTAAAATCGTGACCTTTTTTATTCTGATATAAAGAGAACTACCTCTTCTTAAAATATAACTAGAAGAGGGGAAAAACGCTTAATCTCTCCCTGCAGGCTAAGCAGAAATGTCTGTCTTCTCATATGTCATGTTGTGGTTCCTTCCCAGCTGTATTTTGTAGTACAGACTTCAAGTCCTGTGGATTTTCCCCTGTGATAAATATTAGTGCAGAAAAGATGAAGTCAGACAAAGCAGAACAATGTTCTTTGTGGTTGAAAACAAACAAAAAAAAATATTACAGTAATAAGACTTGCACTTGGCATCAGAGCACTTCTCATGTATTTCTGAGTGTACTCTCATTTCACAGATAGGGAAAATAAATTGCTGTGAAACTGGTGGTTTTCCCAGAGCTGCTTGTGTGAGCTGTGGCAGAGCTAGGAAGAAAAAGGAGTTTTCTTCACCTCTGGTGTGATTTCTAAGTTCAGACCAGATGGCATCCTTCCTGACTGGGGAAGGAGTCCCACTTTGGCTTCTCTGAGGAGAAAAGACCCTGCTCCAGAGAAGGAATTATGAACGGGGCAAAACCAGCTGAGAGCTTTCCCTTTCCCCTGAAATCTGGGCATTGGAAATAGGCTGCTTGAGAGAAAGGAGAAAGATTGGGTCTTTGAGGCCCAGACTGAGGATGAGGGAGGATGGAAAAGAGTGGAGGTCACATATTCTGGTGGGTTTGAGGACAGTGTGGGAGGGAGAACAGACAGATGACTGCCATCTCTCCTCACAAATCTCTCCGATGCCTTCCAGTCTTCTCCCTCCTTCTCATGCAGAATCCTATCCGTTCCTCTCACCTCTGTTTCACCAGCCAGAGCCATCATGAGTCTCCATGACTTCTTCCAACATCCCTTTCCCCAACCCATCATCATGAACTGGTTTGAAGTGGTTAGGGTATACCAAACTGCCCAAATGATTCAGATGGGGGTTTGGTTCAGTTCACCTGAATCAGACTCAAAACTGAACAAAGCAGCCTCATACTGGTTTGATTCCCTAATCTCAAATACTGACAGATATGTTTGGTTTGGTTGATTTTTTTATATCTAAATTAAAATGTAAAATACTTAGAGCATCAATTAATTTCTAGTTAATTACTTGGCTTTTAAAAGGAAATGTCTTTTATTTAGAATTATTTACCTTATTTTTTTTCCATATTTTGACCAGCATTCCAAAAAGCTGATCTGATTATTTCAGTAGGTTGTTTATCTAAGTCAGTACAGTGTACAGACTTGTCTTGAATTCAACCAGCCAGAAGCTGCTTGAGTTTGGTGGTGTTTTTTGCTTCGGTGTAATTCAGAGGAATTCTTTAGTGTAGCACGGGGTTCCTGTCACTCTCTACATTCCAGGGCTGATGCTCAGGTACACTGACTGATCACGGCCAGGGGTAGATCCCTCTGCACTGCCTTCCCCACCTGGGACACTGCTTGCTTTACACATCCCATCTCTTTTTCCTCTCAAAGCTTCTAGCCATGTATTCCCAGAAACCAACCTCTGACTCCATATTTTGTGCTGTTGGGGAGAGAGCTTGTGTGGTGCTTCACACTGTACATAATTTACAAGTATTTCCTTGAAGCTGGTGGGTTCCTGTCAGGAGGTCTGCAGCACCAAACATCATTCTACTGGAAACGCTGATACTGGATCCTACTGAATGTCGTAATTCTAGAATGAGATTTCCTAAATGGAACACAAATGGAAAGTAGCAATGAAATGAATTATAAGGCGCCCTGAACTAAATGCAGGTCCAGAACCAAGATGTACCTACTTCTGACTGTGGTAGGTAGAGGCCAGATCTGTAACATTAGGGCCAGTCATTTGATTCTATCTCGGGTGTCTCTGATGATGAAGTTGCTTTTTTGTGTGGCTGAGGTAACATAGATGAGGAGCATTTGTGGAGCATTTTGGGAGTGGAAGCCAGTCCTAATTAACAGGAGTTGTATAGTGCATTGGAAGTACGCTAAATGTGGAGTTTAACTGTATGTTCTCATGTGCAGGATCAGATTTTAGGGAAACAAATTTCTAGCATCCAAGAAGGCCTCTGGAGCATAAACAACCAGAACTATCTCCTGCCAGATCTCCTCCAGCAAAGCCAAATTTCAGACTCCTCTGTGAACCCACCAAAAGTGCCACTGACTAGCCAGGAAGCTCAGAACAAGCTTCTGAATAAGGTAAGAGAGAAATTACAGACCGAACGAATTGTATCTTCTTTTTCCTCTAGCCATTAGGAGCCTGAGAGCCTTTTAACTTCATCTGTCCTGTCTCTTTTTACAATGAGATTTTTCACCACATCCCTTCTTTTCTTTAAAAGTTTTGTGTAGGGGGCAGATAAGAAATCTTGAGCTCCCTGACAGATTTGGTTGTTCTACTTGTTTGCCTCCATCTCTCTCTCTGCTCCCTTTTCTTTTCTTCCTTTTTTCTCCCCTTTTAGACAAGCTAGAAGGGCTTTTACCCTTTGCTCCTTTACCTCTCATGTCAGCAACACAGTGCTCTTGTCTGCCTCTGCTCGTTGTCCCTGGCTTTCTTCCAGCCAACTACCAGGTGGGAGAGCACAGGGGCCAGGGCAGCAAGTCTCAGAAGCCCTAAAGGGACTCTAACACAGGGTTCTCTTGGGGAGAAGCGTCACTGGAGGCAGATAACAGCTCTGTCAGGGGTCACATCCTAAACTGCCTTACCTGAGGCAACAGCTACTGCTGTAAGACTCTTTGTCTTGTCTAAGTATACCACATGCCATTTCTCCTGAACCTCAGAGGCATTGCATTGCTGTGTGCTGTCTGCTCCCCTACCATCATATTCCTGAAGCAGCTCTTGTTTTTCCTTGTAGACCCCGTGCACTGAAAGCACACCTTCAAAGAGCAGCACATCATCTACAACATCGTTTACTTCATTCATAGATCCTAGACTTCTGCCCATCACCCCTCCCACCAGTCCAGTTGGACCTTCCTGTAGTTCTCGTGAGTATGCTTTACCTTTCTCATAAAATGTCACTCCTGCTTGCTTTTGCTTTCAGGAGTTGGGGGGGCCTGTTGCTTGAAAATGGAAACGATCAGTAACACCTCCAGAAACTGAAACACTACATCAGTATGAATTTTCATTGCACTGCTTCTGCCCTTCTCCTAGATGTGGCTTGCTCTACTCCACTGCTGTGTTACCACAGTGCCTACTTGGGAATGCTGGAGGAATTTTCCAGATGTGTGGGTTTTTCCTCTGGCTATGTAATGCTCCCGAGGTGTTTTCTCACCCCTCTGGGGTTTCTTTCATTCTGCCATAAACAGGTCAAAGGTGAGATGTAGCTAAACACATGCATTTTTCATGATTGCCTATGGCCTTCCTTCTAGCACCTAGTGCAAAACCTGAGCCTGTCAGGAGAGAAAATGCAAGGAAGGGCTCCGTTGTCAACGTCAACCCAACGAATATCCGCCCACAGAGTGACAGTCCAGAAATTCGTAAATACAAGAAGAAATTCAACTCAGAGGTCCTTTGCGCTGCTTTGTGGGGTAAGCTCAGAAGTACTTGGGCATGTGTGTGGAGGGAAGGCAGCAGCAGGAGAGGCTGGCAGCATATGCCAGGCAGATTTCACAGTCATATTGCACCTCTCCTGTCAGAAAGTCCTGGAGTGGATCACTGAGTAGGTACCTGCGTCACTGCCTTCCTGGTAGAAGATGGCAAACAGATGACTTACAGTTGCAAAGGGTTTTGTACATCAGAATGAGAAAATGTTTTGATCAGGCACCAAATTGAAACCGCGCTCGTTGGAAGAGCCAAAAGTTGCAAATGTTTTCATAACTTATGCAGCTCATGGTACTTGCTCTTGTCTTGGCTGCTTACGAGTACAGCTGATCACACTAAGCCCTGACCCAGTGGAAATAATCCAAACCTGAAGCCTTTTGCTGTTGTGTGTGTTAGGTGTCCAAGAACCTGAGGCAGGTCAGGTGTCAGTCTTTCCAAAAGCTTGGCTTCCTTAGTTCCTGCTCTCACTGCTTACTTAGAACCTTGCCGGGTCACCCTTTTTACTGGGTCAGCTTCAGGTGGTGTAAAACCAAGATGAGAATAGTCAGACCAGTTTTCAACAACTGTAGACCTTGTCCCAGTGTCACACTAGCTAAGCTCTTGTTTTAACCATCTTTTTCCTTCAAAACAGACGTATTCTATGGGACTTACCCAGCCTTTTACTCTTCCTCACTTTTTGAGTCTGGAATGGAAAATAAATGAAGTAGATGAAACATTATCCAAAGAAAATGTAGATTTCCAGTTTACAGCTTCACAGATTTTTGTGTAATGTATGTTTGTAGGAGTCCAAGATTTTAAATTAAGAACAGAGCTGTGTGGCAAGGTCTGTAATTAAATGTGTGTTGAGGCTGAAGAGCACCAAGTACTCATCAGAGCATTGCCAGTAGAGGAGGTTGCTTGTTACAGCAGGGTACCTCATGTTGTTTCTTTAGAACCTGCTGATTAGGAAACCTAGCTGTCATGCCAGCTGAACACGATTTTTGACATCTTTGATGTCAGCAACCCGCTGGAGCCTTTGCTTCCTTGGGAGCAGGTGGATTTCAGAGGGATTCACTTCTTTAATTTGATATTTGAAAGCCTTCACAGACCATTTTCAAACACACACTGCGCTTCCTTGTAACAGCAGCCCTTCATCCCACAAGTTTGGTCCTCCTGTGATTTCCAAGGGCACCTGAGAAGTTCGAGTTTGCAAAGTATTTTCCTTTTTGTTTAAATCAACATTGACTTCAGTGGAACTACTATCTTTCAAGTTACAGGGGCATATAAATATTTTTCTGGGTAAAAACTGTAATGGTGAGATTTTTTTTTTTTTTTAATTAATTTTTCTGGGAGGTCACCTGCAGAGCAACAGCGAAATTATCAGGTACCATTAAGTGAGACTAAATAAGAATCAGTTCTCAAAATAACGAACACTTGGTGGCCTCTGAATCATTAGGTGATTTATGCAGTATTTTTTTCCATGTATCAACAGGAGTAAATTTACTGGTGGGAACAGAGAATGGATTGTGGCTGCTGGACAGAAGTGGGCAAGGAAGAGTTTATTCGCTGATTACAAGGAGGCGATTCCAGCAAATGGATGTTCTGGAAGGACTCAATGTGCTAATTACTATATCAGGTTAGTTCAGTGTCTAAAAGTATCTGACCTGCATTGGGGCTGGAAGCAATTAAAAAGAAGAATTAGGTTATAAACTAGGTTGAGGAATTTTCTCTTGCAGAAAATCACAGGACAGTTATTCTTGTTAATAGGAAAACTCTCTTGAATTTTTAACATATATTTCGGAGAGGCTTTGGGATATTTCATTAACTGATTAATGTGTAAAATGGTTTGTGGAAGTATGAAGTGTTTCATATCCTTAAAATGAAGTGGTTCTCAGCAAGGTGTAGTTTGTCAGTCGGTGTGCTTGTTTCTGTGATGGGTGAGCATCTGTCTAAGTGCAATTCTATTAAAATACCATTAAATAACCTCTTTCTGTGTATGAGCAGTAACATGAGAGTGATGTATACTGTGAAAGCATCAGTAACATTAAATGGAGTAGCATCTTCAACCTTTGCTGACAGACAGCTTGGAGGACTCTGCCCTGTGAGGTACTGAGGCCCTCATTCCCCACAGATGAGAGTGGCTTCAAAGGATGCTTAGTACATAAGAAGGTCAGAGATGTAGGTCCAGCAAAGAATGGCAGCTCCCTGTCTCCAATCCAGACTCACTGTGGTAGGTGATGGTGAGAGCTCTTTGTCCCGTATTGTCAGGTCCAGCTGCTCATGTGACACATTCCTTCTCTTTTAAACTAGCCTGTGACCCCAGGCTGGTGCTGACCAGTACTTTAGTCCTTACAGAAAGACTGACTGAGATAAAGGATGACAAAGTAATTCTCACCTGGAAAGGCATCCAAAAGAAAATAGCTACTTGAAATGAAGATTGTCAGATAATTAGAACAAAATGAGTCACTTATTCAAAATGGCCATTGTAGGCCAAATGTTCCTTCCTTCACATCAAAGAGTAGATGCTGGATAGTGTGGTTATTTCTGACAATGTATGCATCTATAGAGACCTGTTCTTTGGCCCAAGGGAAGAATTTTAGTCAGGTGTGAAAATCTTGCTTGAAACCGGAGTCACAAGGTAAGTGCACATGTGCCATATGCTATAGGATTGCTCATGTCCCAGTTCCCTCCTGTGTGTCACCATCACACAGGGCATTTCTTTTGTGCTGCTGGACTCTTCTCTCACCTTGATGAGGCACAAAGACCCCCTGTACTAAAGGTCACAAAACTCTGGCTTTTTGTAAGTGTGGGAGAGTTTGTACTTCAGTGAGTTAAAGTGTTATGTCTGGCTTTTTTCCCCAAATCCTAGGGAAGAAGAATAAATTGAGGGTATATTACTTATCATGGCTGAGAAATAAAATTTTGCGCAATGATCCAGAGGTGGAGAAGCGGCAAGGCTGGGTGTCTGTGGGTGACCTGGAAAGCTGCGTACACTACAAAGTTGGTAAGGACTTTTTTTCTTTTTTTTTCCCCCCTTGAATTGCTTCTTAATCGTCCTTTTGCATCTTGTGACACCAGCATTTTTCTTCAGCTCTGTTTCAAGATTGTATTGAGCTGAATATCTCCAAGTTCTTTCAGACCTCCTTGTTTTACGTGGCAGATGCTTTGCTCTGCCATTCCAGGTGGCATCTCTTCCTGCAGCAGTTGCTGGATGTTGTTTTGGGTATTCCCTGTGACGGCTGGAAGAAGAGAGTGCCAGCCCTGGTCTGTTGCTCAGTCAGTGGTTTAGAAGCTCTATAGTTACTTCAGGTTTTAATTAGATTGATGTTTTCCAGCTCCCTGCTATTCAGCTTCCCTCCTGGTCCTGGGTAACTGCTAAGAAACTGAACTAGTAAAGTTCTAGCAGATCCTATTTGTAGGATGTCCATAGGTAGATCAGCTTGGATGTGCTACAGCTCATCCCTGTCTGTAGATCATAAAAGACTTAAATATACCTTTGTTTAAACTTAAACACTGGAAATGGTACCGTAGCAGTTGAAAAACCATCTTGCTTTTATTTGGCTTTCAGGCAGTTCATTCTTGAAGGTGAACATCAGTATTGTGATAGTTTCTGTCATTTAACTGTGTGAGGGGGTGTGATGTATAGTGCAAGTTTTGCTTTGGTGAAAGATGGTATATGAAAGTGAAACTTTTTCCAAAGTCAAATAGAGAAATGATATAGAGGAGTGCAGGAGACAGCAAGGTGGCTGCCTCTCAGAAATACCTTGCTTGACTTTTTTTTTTGCTTTTATATCTCACGGCTTTAAAAGCGTCAAGGGTTAAATCCAGGAAAGAATGTGAAACAGATGTGGATTGTTACTTTCTTTGCAGTTATAGCTAAGCATCCACTTCAGTTGTTTATCTTTGAGTTTGGTGGGTTGTTTTTTTAAAAAAAAAACCCAAACAGTCAGTTATCCTAAAATTAGGCAAACATTTGATAGGAGCTTCTGTGTTTACATATGACAAGCCACTCTTACTACTTTGACAAAACAGCTGCTGTTTTTCTGTGGGTGAATCTTCTTGTATCTTGACCTTTGATTTTACAGATATTTATCCAGGTAGACGCAGAAAAGGATGTGCTGTTCTGCATTTTGGTGGAGTTTGGGTTATTTTTTTTTCCTTTCTCTGCCTGTGTGAGATTTTCCTGACCAGTGTCCATCCTTAGCCACTCCTCATGCTTCTGCTGTATGTTTGGCCAGTGTAAACTGCTCCTTTTGTAAGCAGAAGAGCTGATCAAGCCCTCCTCCCTCAGAAAACAAACCATACTTCAGTAGTGTGACACCTGCATCTTTTAAAAATCCCTGCCAAGCAGACACTGAATGTAAAATGAAGGGTGAATGTGTTGGGATGCAATAGCCTGGTGTTCTGTTCCCAAAGCAAATGCTTGTCTCTGCAAGCGTGTAAACACAGTGTACAAAGAAGCCTTAATTTTCAATGCATGATTCTTCATTTATGCTTGATGGGGCCACCGTGACCTTAATCAACTGAGAGAAATTGCTGATCTCTTAAATGCTTACTCATCTCAGAAACCTGGGAGTCCTTTGCCCATGTTAATCTGTGGGGATTTAACCCCACACGTGAACAGTGAAATGAAAATTCATCCTGCAGAGTGTAACAGAATTGTTCAGCCAAAAGTAGCTTATTCACGACCAAAAAAACTGTGTGTTCACACGTGAAAAATAAAGTAGGTTGGCTCAGCTTGTAGAGTCAAGACCTTCTTTTTTTGACTAGCAAGGGGTTTGGGGTTTTTTTATAGATATATGAAAAGCAATATATAAATGTTGTTAACAGTCATATTGCTTTACTGAGAATAAATGAACTGTAGGTTTTCAGTCAAGGTATTGTCACTGGTGATATTAAACTTTGATGTCCAGAATCCATTAGTCTCCCTTGCTGGATAGTATCTACCTCTACAAGTAGTCCATTGAAATTATTTCATGTGATGAAATGGTCTTTGATTTAAGTGTCTGTCTGGTACCTAAGGAATTGTTCTTCTTGTATTACAGTAAAATATGAGAGAATCAAATTCCTTGTAATTGCTTTGAAAAACTCAGTGGAGGTTTATGCTTGGGCTCCAAAGCCTTATCACAAATTCATGGCTTTTAAGGTAAGTGAAACTTCACTTTGGTTCAGATGTATCGTTGTCTCTCATCCTACTCTTTGCGTTTGCTTTTTGTTGCCTTGTATAACAGTTCTTTCTAGATAAAATGAGTATTTTTTTTAAAGAAAACATAGCTCATTTGACATACGTTGGAGATGGCAGGCATAAAACTGTCACAGTCATGATTCTGTTAGATGTGAATAACTTGTTTCAGTGCTGTGCCAAAATGTATGTTTGAGTTCACAAAGTTGATGCTGATTTCCCTCAAAAGAGGAGGAAATTGAACATGAATGGTACTCAGCTTAATTTTTGCCTAGTCTGCTCCTAGAATCTGGATTTTTTTAAAAAATAGAAGTAAAATATCCAGCTCTCCTTACAGTTTAGTGGATAATGGATACTTAGCTCCTTAAATGTGATATACTATTTAACAGAACTAGCTGTCTGACTTTTGAGTTTTGAAAATTCTTAAGATCATGTATGTAGATCTGTGAACCAACGGCTTTATTATGTTATATAGCGTATTTTTCTTTTTCCAGTCCTTTACCTCACTTCATCACAAACCACTGTCAGTTGACTTGACCGTTGAAAATGGACAAAGATTAAAAGTCATATATGGCTCACTGGTAGGCTTTCATGCTATTGATGTGGACTCCGGATCTGTGTATGACCTGTACCTTCCAACACACGTAAGATACTCCAGAAAATTACATAAAAGCCTCTGTTCTTTGGGGTGTATATTGATGATGATCAGGTTACGAGTTGTTCTGTATTTCAAAAGACAGGGTAAGAGAATAATTATTGTATGCCAGCTAATCGAAAACCACTTTTCACATACTTTTATAACACTGAAGTTCTGTTAAAAGGCTTTTATCACATTTCGAGTATCAATGTTAATGGTTTAATGTCAGAAGGCCTCTTGTATGGACAGTACAATTTTTAATTGATTTATCCTGGAAATTTAATACTTCTTAAGCAATCAAAGACACAATAATATCTACATGAATTTAGGTGACTTTTACAATCTGCCGCTGTGCTTTTCAATCTTGCTAACAAGCTGATTAAACTATCACTGAATTGAGATGTAAACCTCCCTGAAGTCAACAGAGCTCCATAGGGCAGAGGGTTCGCTCATCCGGGTGCCTTGGCCTCCTTGTATCCCAAGGCAATATGTCCCAAAGTTACGCTCGGGAGGTCTGAGGAAATCTCATTCCAGATCTGCATGTTGCAGCCTGTGCCTTGAACCTTTTTCTTTTTTAAACTTCTTTTTCTCCACTCTCAGCCCCACGTTTTCAAACCAGTGAAAACCCATGCCTCCTGCACGAGCCACTTCACTCTGCTGCCCTAACAAGTGACAACCTTCAAATTCTGTCAGGCCTGTGTTTCTGATGGACACAATGTTTGAGGATGGCTGTTAAGTTTAGAAACTTCTCTTAATTAAAAAAGTTAGCTTTCTAGCTGTTCAGAACAAACTGTTCAACGACGCACTAAAAGCTTGCACTGTTTATTTGTGGTTTGTTTGGGTTTTTTTTAAGGGACTTAATATTTGTTTTGTTAGAGGGTTTATTTAATCTGACAATTAGCAGTTTTATTAACTGTGCAACTGTGACAAATTCACATCAATTTATAAATCTAAGCATGGTGCCTGCATACCATCCCTGGAAGCTGGTTGCTACGGTGAATAATGACTTGTCAAAAAGATCATTAGCATAATTGCCCAAGATAAGAAAGGCAAAGAAAAAAGTGAACCTTCTTAGAAGCTTTAGTTTTTCAATAGGCTGCAAATAGAATTATGTACCCAATGAGAGAGATTTCCCAGGTGACTGTCCTGAATATGTGGGGCACCTTTAAGTCTGACCCCATTTATGCGTGCTCTTCAACCAAAAGTTAGCATGTACTAAAAATACACTTTCCCATTAGAGTCTTAGACCTGAAATAAATCTGCTGCTACAGTGGCTCTATTTTTTTTTTTTTTTTTGGTATTTTATTATTTTAAAGAGCATCTGCTGGAATTGGATAATTCTCTCAAGGAGCTTTGTGGTGGCAACAGACCAGACTTTACCAGGCTGACGTTAGATACTCTTGCTTTCTGGTAGCCTCTTTTCCTGGTTCCCCACCTCTTTCTTCATCTCTTACCTGCTTCGATCGCTCATGCGAGTACCAAGGCAACGCATTAAAATTGCTCTGCGACTCTGGATACCCGTTCTAGTGTTACGGATAGTTGTTGCGGAGGCACGGAGTCAAGTGGTTGGCCTGAGTGTATTCAGTTTGGCAAGTACAGCTTCAGTGCTTCTTTTACTGTTCCTTGTGCCCTTGCAGTGTGCATAAATGTATGTGCTTGAAGGGAAGAAAAAAAAAAAAAGCTCTGTGTGTTGCTGGCTTGTGAAAATGATGTAGAAACTCCAGTCATATGCTTTCTATAAAAACGTTAATTGCAGTAGTTTAATTTACTATGTAACATCCTGTTTTGAGTACTGCTTTAAACAAGGAAATGCTCTGTTATTGTTTCTTAAGGCTGTCTTCTTTTTCTTTCAAAAATGCTTTCATAAAACCCCACCTTCATGGTTTAGAAGAAAAAAAAAAAACCTTAACTTTTTTTTTTTCTTTCACTTGGGACATGTTGGCTTCTGGGTGAGATTCTAGTGCATTGAACAGCTGTTAAAATAGTTTGTGTGAGTGAAATGCACTGTTCCTGTGGCATGCAGAAAGTGTGTGCTCAACAGCATTGACATGGGGAACTATTTTTAGTGAGGGATGTGGGAAGGGGAGAGAAAGGTATTTGTATTTGAAAAGGTCCAGGTAATTTTTCCACTTGCTGTAAATATTGTTCAGTTTACAGGTTTTAGCTTGTGAGTGGGGATAGGGAAATATCATGGAAAGTGAAAGCACTGATTTCCTGGAATGTGGAAGCTTTTTTTTCTTCCTCCATCTTCTGAAATAATTGTGATTCAAATTTATTTCACTTTTATTCTATTTATATAATGCAAGTGTTTTGTGAGTGAATAAGTAAATATTATTGTGTCTCAGTGGCTCCATGGCTTCTTAAAACCAATTAATATTGGTAAATATAAAGTGAAATATTGAACATTGCTTTGTTTGGAAACCTACTGTCATATTGAAAGGGGGGAGGAGGAGAGAAAGCCTGTTTCAGAGGCTAGCTACCAAACTGTACAGCCTTTCTGAAAACAGGCTTTTCTTTCACTTTCCATGAGCCATGAGCTAGTTCTTTTTATTGCTCTGCCAAGCTAGTTGGATTGATGTAATCACTAAAATTGCAGTCCATTTTCTGATATAAATCTTAGCAAAATATGATTCTAGATCCAGGGAACTATTCGCCCACATGCCATTATCATCCTCCCGAATACCAGCGGAATGGAGCTTTTACTGGCCTATGAAGATGAAGGCATCTACATTGATATATATGGGCATTTCACAAAGGAGACTGTTTTACAGTGGGGAGAAATGCCAGCATCTGTAGGTATGTATGAAAAACAGCACTCCATTAAATATAAGGTTCTGCTGTATGCTGCCCGACTTCTTTGAGGTTTGTATTCATATGAAAGTGGTTGTATGGCACATAAAGCAACTTCTGAGAAAACCAGGTGTGTAAAGCGTCAACAGATGTATGTATGTTTGTGTTAAGACAGCCAATGACTGCAATAGGGTCTTCATGCTTGGATCATCGAGTTTGTGTTCTTGTCACACTGTTTATTGCATCATACCTTGACTATACAGCCACACTTCACCAAGGATGCAGCCTACTAGCAGTTTTCACAGAAAGAATTACGTGAATTAGAGGGAGAAAAGGTGCTATTGTTTCTTACTTTGTTCATAGCCCACAGTGTTTTATGTAAAAATTCACAATTATAAAGAAGTCAGTTACTGAAGAGGTCTGTAACTGCTGTCAAATGGCCCCTTAATTTTATCACTTTCAATTCACAGTGCTGCCAGCCCAGGTTATTTCTAATAGATTCTTAGTCTCTCTGTGCTTGCAATTGGCTTTGTAGGCAGAGATTCTGATCGTAATGTAGCAAGGACAGCTGTTTGTTTCACTTTCCCCAGCGGGCTTCAGGTTAACAGTGTAGAGAAAACCAAGAACAACACAAGCAGAATTTTGGTTTTATTATTTGTTGCCTTTAATTTCTTTTATGGCTCACTCCTGTTCTTCTAGTTGGGGAAGAACTGTTCACAAGGACATGTAGCAATAGGACAAGGGGTAACGGTTTTAAACTAGAAAAGGGTACATTCAGATTGGATATTAGGAAAAAGTTCTTCAATATGAGGGTGGTAGATCATTGGAACAGGTTGCCCAGAGAGGTAGTGGAGGCCCTGTCCCTGGAAACATTCAAGGTCGGGCTTGATGGGGTTGTGAGAAACCTGCTCTAGTAAAGATGTCCCTGCTCACTGCAGGGGGGGTTGGACTAGATGACCTTTGAAGGTCCCTTCCAACCCAAACCATTCTATGATTCTTCTGCATCTTAAAAAAAACATAACAAACAAAAAAGCCCAAGACACTTGGACTGTACAAAAGCATATTATTATCTTGGCAGAAACTGGATGCCACAGTGAAAAATCGTGGCTTTTCACCTTTCTCCTTTCACTTCTAGCTGGGTAGTTTTAGGAAAAGCCCATTAAAATCAGTAGAGTAACACCCTTGAGTAAATGCCAGGTCTGACATTTGTAGAGGGTTTTCAACAGTATTGAAGGCAATAAGCCCACCTCTGTAACACAAATTGCTACAAGACAACTTTTTTATTTTTGCACTGTTTCAATAAAATTCAGCAACAAAACTGCTTTAGTTTCAAAAAGCAGGTATAAGGTTATAAGCTGACTATATAGTGTTTCCTTCCCTTCACTGAATAGCCCTGTCTCTAATTTTCAGCCCATATTCAGAGCTCCGGGGCATAATTTAAATGTATCAAGTCAATTCGCCATTTTCATAAGAATATGTAATGGTCTTTAATATGTTTAAATTTTACATCCCCTCTGGATTGTGTTAGAAACACCATAAGAAATAATCAATAATCAAAAAGCAATTACTCAGCCAGGGTAAGAATAGTTCTAATGAGGAATATTGAACATAATTGGAAGCTGTACTGACAAATCCAATCTGAAGGAGATGGAAGCTTTCAAGCAGCACGTCATTATGCGGTTTGCTTCCTTAGGTCTTACTAAAAGTTGCAGGCTTACTTAATATCAACGTTTTCTTGAAACTGTAATGTCTGATCCACCTCATGGTATGCATATATGATTTTCAAAAGTATTTAAACTCTCCTTTGTTTTCCCATGTGTACTTCACAAGTTAGAACTCCTTTTTCCTGCCTTGGGATGAAACAATTTTAAAATCAACTGCATTTATGTAAGTGTCCTGACAGAGATTAATCCTAAACTCATGTTTAATACTTGTTAAACCATGGGTGTTATTTGTAACTATTACAGGCTTTTCTAGTTGTATTATTCTTACTATACGCTATGTCCTGAAGAGTCACTGTTACCAGAGAGTGTGTTTCAAAGGCAGATGATATATAAGGAACAAAGGGCTTTCTTATATTCTGCTTTAGAAAGGGAACTATTGCAAGAAGGGTCACATAGATCTATGACTCCTACTTGGAAATTTGCAGTTTGTGTCACTGAGCACTGATTGCTCTCAAAGCTTTTTCACTTAATCTGGATAAGAGT